GAAATCACCAACGGCGTGCACGTGCTTATTGAGGCGTGGCGGTGGTAGAGCGGGTGGCGGACCTCTTGATTTTTTCCCCTACGGGGGGAAGACACCAGGACCGGGAGGAGGCTGCCTGAAATGTTTTGTTTCTGAAATACACAGACATTACCAGGATTGGACACCATTTTGGGGACTTGTGGACTTGTTTCAATACTATCTATATTGAACTTGAACCCATAATTCAATTCTATGAATGAACAAGAAACTTGATTGTACTCATTTTGGACATCGGACTTGAACTCATGCGAAGGACTTTGAACTTGCGACACATTTGGAGCAAGAAAACATAGAGCCTTGGTATCAAAGCAAGGCAGAGGACTTATGAACATGGATATAAACTCTACTGAACTCAAGAGAAGCTGCCACTTGAATTTGAACGGTTATCCTGATTCACAAAGATAAGCAGGGGACTTAAACTGAAATATCAATGAACTATTATAAAATTTGACAGCAAACTGAACAAAGAAACTGCCCTCTCAGACCCTAATCAAATTGACATTAGACAATGAATTTTATTGAATCTTTTTTTAACTTCAAACTTGAACTTGTATCTTTGTAGTACTCTCAATTTGATTAAAATCAAAGTAGGACTCTGTTTTTGAATGATGGCATCAAAAATCTGCCAATGAAATGGTAAGGAGTTGGCATATTAATTAAGGTAAATGTAGCTTTCATTCAAAATAGCACATGCAATCAAGTGCAAGTTAGTGATCAAGTGGAATGTCGCAAACTTCAACATGACATGTTTAAATCAATGGGCAAATGGGACAGGAAGTATCATCTCAATTTGCAACTGAGACACTAAATAAAATAGGCACAATGGGGAGGTTTGATTTGCTAACAAAAATAGTGCTGGAGGAGTTGTAATGGGTATAACTTAATTACAACGATCAATTCCAAAGGAATACAAAAAAAAGAACATAGAATTCTTATGAATTTTTTCATAATCCATCCAAATTGCAAGTGATACTAAGTCTCTCATGTTATAATAGACAGGCAGTTCTCTACGAACACATTTGACGATGTTATAGAAGATGTGTGACAAATGTAAGTAGCAATTCCAAATCAAGGTGCTAATAAAAAAAATAGGAGTTCCCAAATACTTGTTGAAAAGCTTTTTGTACCAGATCAAGATGCAAGCTTAATATTAACTCTGTTTCAAGGGCAATCGAGAACTTATGATATTTCACATATTCTCCAAACACAAGAGCCGAATGACGTCTAATATAGGAGTGAGATACTATAGTGGGCTAGGACGACCAAAATGCTGATCCTAGACTTTCTGTAGCAAAGCAAGGTACTTCCTAAGTCCTTCATCGTAGTACACATCAAGATAACGAAAAGATATACACTAATCCGTGAAGCAAGGGAGGAAAATCGCTGTTGAAGGGAGATCTGATTTCTGTCAGTAGCAATCGATGAGTGGAACCAACACATCACGAATCGTACTCAATTTTCTTACAAATAATCTACAATGCTTTCTCTTAAAGTGAGATGTATGTGTCTAAAAAAGAAACTAGTGCATTATGTAGGTATCATCGAATAATACGTCACGCTACAAGCAAATACCTTAATTGAACTAACGACAAGTATATAACCAGTACGTTACCTACGAGGGCAGGAGATTTAGTTCCAGGGCGTAAGGATGCACTATAGGCGTGAGGCAGCTCACTGTGTTGGACCCGCCGCTACAGAAAATCAACAAAATAGTGCACCAGTCGTACGCTGTAAGCGAAGCAGCGAACAACTCCATTCAGAAGGCTGCTACAGTCCCGCGCCACCGCGCGGAAGTCTTGCGAACACGCTTCGTACAAGCAAGACGAGAAGGCGTATACAATTGATTTTCGTCAAATACCGCTGCATTACATGACTGTAATTTTGTTATACCATAGTGCACGGTACGCGGTGATCGGCACGCGCGTTAGGACTGGAGCCCTAGCACTAAAAGGTAAAATACAACCCTGCACCCGTTGGGGCCCCGGGCGAGGGCGTGTTATTTGGTCGACCATTCACGCTTGTCCGTCTAGGATGCTGCGAGCGGAGTTTGAGCAATGAATGGATTCTAGTTCGAACGCCCGATCCTCCTATACTGGTCAATGGAGAGTCGACAAGGTTGAACTCTTCAACAATAATACGATTGCTACACTCGATATATTTCGTCTTGAATACTCTATGCATATTCCAAAGGCTTTCCAAGGCCTAATATAAATGAGAATTCACGATATCAAATGGCATAAAGCCTACGAAACACTCCGATCCTACTGTCCGACAGCCCGATAGAGTTGACGGAAGGTTCAATTCCATAAAGAGAATGACCCCAGAATATCGCGGTTATGTGATCGTTGTGATTGAGATATCACTGATAGAGGTATCCATACCGATGCAGATGGGGGTTCTCAAAAGTATGATGGCTAATCAGCAATATGGTCCAAAATTCCAACTCCACAAACCAAAAACCCACAAACTCCACAAACTCCAAAACCACAAAAAATCCCAAATCTCAATATTTTAAAATTGAAATAAATCCATCAAACGTGTAAGCAAATGCCATCCCCCTACTCGCACAAGTTTCTGCGGGGCGGACAAATTAAAGTATTCTTCAGCTCACAAAGAAGCCAATGCCTAGTCCGGTAATATCACTATGAATCCTTCATCAAACAATCTCTTAGCTGTAGGACGTTGGTAGTGTTCTCTAACCGGCAGTCGTTCGCGCACCAAAATGGCACTGCAGGTAATCGGTTAATGACCCGGGGCCCTCCTGAACGATGGTTATTGCCAGCCAAAGTGCACCGACAGATAGCGGTTATGGGCCAGAGCCAATACGCTCCTTAATGGGTAATCCTTGAGATATGTCAATAGGAATGTCGATAGGAGACGAAAGCCCACCTGTTACGTAGATACTTCAATTTGTACCCTTAAGACAACACATTCAACCCACCGGTCTACAAGTCCGCTTGGACGAAGCAATCCCATGGCTGCAGACAAGGATCCTTCTGTCAGGTTGGGTCGACAACCTCCTCTGACTAAGTAGACCAGGGACCAGATGGCACCGGAACGACGGAACCATGGGATCTTGATCGGGCTCACTCCTTCCCCACCATCCGCTTTAAGTGCTAGATGGTGCAATTTCTATTTTAAATATCAACTTTTCCCCAAAATTTCCCTGAATCGCATACCCAATTTCCACAATCCAATTTCTACCAATATCCATACATATTGCCGCTACTATGATGCCTAGATCACGTATCTTCTACTACGTATCTGATTTACGACTAGCCTTAATCGAAAGTTCTCTCTCGTGATCGGGAGGGGTAATTAACTATAGGGGCTTGCGCCTATAGGAAACCAGAACTCAGATCATAAAGTCCTCACAAAATGAGGGCGAAATCTCTGGGTAGTGTCTTATCTACAAACCCATCTGCCTTCCAAAATTTACCTCGGAACTTAGTCAGTTAAAACTCCCTCGCCGAATAAGAAAAGCGAGTGGAGGCCGAGGCCAAATTTTCGGAGCCCACATGGGGTTTATAATATTCTGCATTATTAGATATAAGCAGAACATCAGTATTTCAAAAAATGTGGTATTCTCCAACCTGCGGGGTTTATGCTTGGAGTAGCAGTTATAACACCTTAAGTTTTGTATTTTCTGCTGTTTTCTCTGATACATTTATATAAAACAAGAGCTAGCTCCAATGTTGAAAGGAAGTATTACTTCAATTATTCATCAAGATCCAATGTTTAAAGAAATTAGAGTATGGTTAGCTCATTTTGCATTACTGAACCAAAATCACATGTATTTATGGAATTTATGTTGCATCCATAAGATCAACTATTTTAGTTATCAAAACTGTAATTGTTCTTCTGCGGAACAGATATAAATATATTAAGGTATTTATTTTCCTCAATCCATGCCAAGAAATATACACAAAGGTTGAACTCATCATAAAAACTGATGTGCTGCTAACTTACCTTGAACTAAGAGAAAATGAAAAGAAAAACTTAGAACAACTCAACATATAGGAGAACAAACACTAGAAAAAATATTTATCTGCCAAATGCTTTCATCCAAGCCATGAAGGAAAATTTATCGTATTTGTCATCTGCCTCTCTTGTTGTAGCAAAAGTGGAACATTGTTGAATAATGATTGGAAAGATCAAGCCTTTACTGTTGACATTCACTTGTTTCTAGACTGCAAAATCTATGTTCTTCATGCTTGAGTACTTAATTGCATGGTGTTTGGTCATTTTTTTGAGTTTCTGCTTAATTTTAGAGCCAGTTGTATCCACATGCAGGAGGGCTTCCATGAAAACTTGAAGGAATACTAGAATCTCCACTTGTTAACTGTATTTATCGTATTTGTCACATTTATAACTGTTTTTATAAATACACTAATTATAATGACAAAAAAAATATTACAAATGCATTGCTTTTACTTTACTCTGGATATACCTAACCAAACAAGGGAAACAGTTCTCCTGCGTTTACTTTGCAGACAACCAAACAACCTCAAAGTATTTGGAATGCACTACATTTACTTTACACTGCATTTACTTTACACTGCGTTTACTTTGCAGGCAACCAAACAGCCCCTAAATATAAACAAATTGTAGGCCTAATCTCAATTTTGACATTACTTTGGATGGAAATTAGTGGTATGAAGTTTTTTATAAGTGCATTTTTTATTTTGTATGGTCAGTCTTATTAGTTTGAGCAGGTGTCAAGTAGAAGATAGACCTTAAAAGTTCAAAATGGACTCCTAAAAAGTTTCCCTTTGCTAATTTCCATCCAAAGAAAAGGTGAAATTGACAGAAGAATCAAATTGGTTCAGATTTGATGAGTTGAGAAACTAAATTGAATATATAGAAAAGTCCAACTAGAATGAATGCACTTAAAAAGGTTAGGGATTATTTTGGTAATTTACTCTCAAGAAAACAGCTGCTTTCAGTTGTAAGATGCTCACCGGAGGAATTGTGTACGTTATAAGCGTTCCAGGAGGGATTAACAACTCATATGACTGGACATGCTCTAGCAGACGCATTTCTTCATCTAGTTCTGCTGTCACTTGAATAGTTAATGAACACTCTGCCGGCAATGAACTTTTGTTTTCCAAGTCAACCGTGGTATGTAGATATGATCTCTCATAGTCATCAAAAAATGATGATACCAGGTGCGGATCATCTAACTTGACAGGCTACACTCCATATGAAGAAGCATGATATAAGAATCTCCAATCAACATCGCACGTATGTAATAGGAAAGACTTTAAAGTAGTGATCAGAATAATTAGTAAAACAATTATGGTGCTTAAAATGCACAGTAGCCGTGGAAATGGAAGCTTAAAATCCATTTATGATATCAAGTTATGATAAAACTTAAAATCAAATTAACTAACCCCAGTAACTGAAATTGACACTTCATCCCAGATCCCAGTATTCCTATCCCTGCAGTATGGTGAGAAAGTAAATCAATTTAAGAAGATATTTTTCGAGAAAAAGAACGGTTGAGGTGGCCTCAGTCAAAGAGGAAAGAACAAAGAAAAATCCTGATGCAAGAAAGCAAGACAATATGTAATTGAAAGAAGTGTTAAAGCATTTCTCTCAGAGGCACGGTTTAACAAAATGAATTGCAGATTACTAGTAACTGTATAGCTTTAGTGGTTGGAAGATAGTGCAGATTTCTAAATAAAACCTTATCGGGGTCATCCAGTCCCAACCTTCGACATATTGAGCAGCAACATCTTTGCCAATCTGATACAATTAACACATAAGATTATCAACATATAAGGTTTCACTTCACAAATTAAAGCTATAGAACTTCTTTTAAGCAACGAATAGCATTGCAAAAATAGGAAAACTATAATAAACAAAGAAAAAGGAAAGGAACATCGATTTGTATATGGAATTTCAACCTGTCACCAATGTCCAAAATCTGGACATTCGAATGATATTTTCCACTGATCACCAAAGAGAATTTCACAAATTCTGTCTCACGAGGCACAGCCAGCTAAATTAGCAATTTTTAACCCATGAATTGAGTTCCGAGAAGATGTTCACATTGACCATGCTTTACGGCCGTGTGGTAGTGGCTATGATGTCTAGAGGTGTAATTGACATGAGCTTGACCAAACTACGACCTTGTCCTACTCAATTCATGTATCACATAGAGCTGGATAAAAAAAGAGCTGAAACTCAATATGGTACAAGAAAACTTGTTCAAGTTTGTTGCAAATCGAAATACAAGCTGAGTATGAACCATTGACTGAAACCAAGCTTAATCCTGGGGCAATCGGATGCATCAAAAGTTTACATATATGGTTTGATTGCTATTTTCATAGAAAGAAATATTTCAAAAGACAACCTAAAAGACGCATCTTCAATGATATTTAGAGCATGAAACAGTAAAATTAAACTTTCTCACGTGTTACTCTACAGTCATCCGACCTTTTCTTTTTTTGATAGCCGCTAAAAATGAATGGTCATTTGTGTTTGAACATTGTAGAAACAGCAAAATTATAACACAAAGGATTGTTTTACTTTGATATATATATATATATATATATATATATCAAGGTTTTAAAAGGCGAAATCGGGAATCGAGGCGTTTTCTCTAAGCGAGGCGAGGCGTAAGCCTCGAGGCGAATCGAGGTGTAAGCCTCAAAATGATTAAAATAAATTAAATTAAAATTATAAGTAATGACAAAAATAACAAAATATTATGTCAACTATGAATTTGAAGATTTGTTTCAAGATAAGATACTGGAATACAAGATTTAAAATAAACTCACTTAAAAATAAAACATCCCCTTAGGATCAAGACCCAAAGCAAGCTCATCATCACTTTGATTGTCTTCAGAAGAATCTTCATAATTAATATCAAAGTCATCCTCAAACTCTTCTTCATCTATAATATATACATGAATACAACAATATACCAATCTGCTGGGCTCCAAGGGGGTTGCTGCCCCTGGCGGGGTTTGACCTGCCCGGTCAGGTCGAGGGTCAAGTGGCAGCGCTCCTGCAGGGTTTCTGGGGCAGCGCCGAGCAATATCGAGCATGTACCTAGTGGTACCGAGCATGTACCGGTCAGTACCGAGCGATACTGGCTCGGTACCGAGGCATGTACCTAGTGGTACCAAGCATGTACGCTCATTACCGAGCATATACTTGCTCGGTACCGAGCGATACGGGCTCAGTAATGAGGATGTACCTACTGGTACCGAGCATGTACCGCTCGGTACCAAGCATGTACCTACTGGTACATGTACCGCTCGGTACCGAGCATGTACGGTACGGTACCGAGCATGTACCGCTCGGTACCGAGCATCTACGGCTCAGTATCGACATATATTTGCTCGGTACCGAGGGGTACCTAGCGAGTAGCGATACCTATCAATACCGAGCCTGTACTGAGCGGACGAATGAAAGATAGCCGAATCAAGAGTTATTCAAGCTTTCGTTACTGCATGCCAAAGTCTCACCTGCTCTTCCGACCTAACCAAGGCCTGAACGTTACCTGCACTCACAACTTCGGCTTCGTTTCCTGCTTTCGAAACCGTTATTGCTTTCGGCTTCGTTTCCTGCGTCGTCTCCTTCCGACTTGGTCTCCTGCACTCACGCTTCATCTCCTTCTCTCACGGCTTCGTCTCTTTCCCTCACAGCTTCGCCTCCAGTTCGCTTTTCAATTCTCACAGGAAAGCCCTAATCTATACGCGAACATGAATCGACTGCGTGTATTTACATATATACCGAATAAAAAATTTCGAGGCGGTGCATCGTATTGCCTCGAGGTGTTACGCTCTGATGCGTACGCCTCCTGCGAAAAAATCGTAGCTTCGCTGGATGGTTCGAGGCCTAAGCACCGATACACATGACTTCCGCCTCAAGTTAAGGCGGCGACTCAATGCGGACGCCTCGTCCGTTCTTTTAATGGTTGATATATATATATATATATATATATAATATATATATTATATATATTAGAGAGAGAGAGAGAGAGAGAGAGAGAGAATGATCAAAATGATCCATTAGCTCCTTTATGAAAAATTATATATATATAATATATATATATATTATTATATATAGAGAGGAGGAGAGAGAGAGAGAGAGGGAGAGAGGAGAGAGAGAGAATGATCAAAATGATCCAGTAGCTCCTTATGAAAAATCAAAATAATCTCAACAATATTAAATATCACTGATCCTCAACTACTTAAAGAGGAACCAAAATAGTACTTTAATATAGTTGGAGACCATTTTGATCCTTTTTTCTATATAATATATATATATATATATATATATATAATATATATATATATATTATATATTTAATATATATAGAGAGAGAGAGAGAGAGAGAGAGAGAGAGAGAGAGAGAGAGAGAAAGAGAATGATCAAAATGATCCATTGGCTCCTTATGAAAAATCAAAATAATTCTCAACAATATTAAATGATCATTGATCCCTCAACTCCTTAAAGAGGAACCAAAATAGTACTTTAATATAGTTGGAGACCATTTTGATCTTTCATAAAGAGTTAAGGATCCATTTTGATCCTTTTTCCTATATATATATATCCCACCCCAAAGTCTGTAGAGTGGTAGCCATTATGTCATAAGTGAGAATCAAACTCGAGACCTTGGCAACAACTCACAAGGTGCTTACCAATTGGATATTTGAATAAGGATAGACTATTTTTCTTTTAAAAGCATAAGAGTTTTTGTTCTTACACATCTTCCTCCTTTCATCCAATTTTTTAAATGGTTGAAATGTAAAATAGCTAAAAGTCATTGGTATTATAAAAATAATGTATGTATGTATATAGTGTTATGAAATGTGTTGGCCTCAGTCAAAACGACATGGCTTCCTAATATCCGAGGTAGTTAGGCACTTGCCTAAGCAAAGTGAGGCAGTAATTTTTTTTACCTATTCTAATTATAAGGAATACTTTTTGGAATATATATTATAATAACTACAATATAATATAGTAGAAAAAAATATTTTCAACTTTCACGTCACTCAAAATACCAAAACAACAAAACTTTGTTAAATAAATTGTCCAAAACAAAGTGCTAAAAGGTGTAAAACAACTATGTTCCAAATTTAAACAAGAAAAAAAAAAATCAATGCATCAAGATACAAAATTAAGCATAAAAATGAAGCAAAAATATGAATTCGAGCAAAAGCATGATCATGATGAATAATATAACATAGAGGTGAAAAAACATACAATGTGGTTATGTTTTGAACCTGAAAATTTAAAGCATCATGAATTTTATGGAAGTTCAACAGAAGCAAGAAACATTCTAATAAAGATGGCATACCTCATGATCACCACCTTGACCTCCTTCTGGAGGAATTGTTCCAGGATGATCAGGAGGATGGATAAGTACAGCAAGCAAATTTTTCCCTTCACGGTTAATAATATCAGTAATATCAAGTGAATGTCTTCGAAACATCCCCTTGGGAAGGATCTTTTGGTGCCCATTCAGATATACCTCCCCCGAGTAATTGATCGCACGAAAGTTGAGATCTATATACTGACTTCCTTTCTAAATCATGAATAAATAGATGGGTGAATTCATGTATTTAGAGAAAAAATATTTTTTATATTGCTACAAAGCACAACCTCATATTTATTGATATTAGTGAATGCAATCAGTTGTATAATGATTAACCACTTGCACACTCTTAGTATTAGCTCATTCACATTGTACAGACCTTTTATTCAATAATTTCTTTCGTTAGAGTATTTAGTTACGCGGATTTGAATTAGTAGAGCAGTAAAAAGCAACGAAGCAATGAAAACATGAAAAAAAAAAGAAGATTTTTGGTATGTTCAGAATTCCATTAATGGTAATTAACTGATCAAAGCATTAGCATGTAATTTCTTAAATCCCACATTGGATGACAATAAGAATAGTGCATAAGTAACAAAATCGTAGTCCCAATAATCGCCAGATTATCTGTAAAGGTAATGTGTTTCTATCAAAGTACTAAATATTTTGACTCCCCAAGCATACAAATTTTAAGTTCACCTAGGCACTTCATCTTGTAATGAATATTTGGGCTCATAATTTTTGAGCAATTACAACAAAAACCCAAAAGAAGTCGAAGGATCGAAATGTGAAATATCTAGTTATTCTCTAGCCATGAGAGTATGAAGAAATTGGGTATTGCCAAAACCATTTTCAACGATATCCATCATTTCATTAGGATAACAAAATGTATGCATGCCAAATATGAGAGATTTCACATAATAAAATGAATCACTTGGAGCACAACCTATACTATGGAGGTAGTGATGCATACCAGTTTTGACTCGAAAGTTGTAAAAAACCAAAATGTATAGTACTCCCTTCCAGAATCAGCAATATCAACTATTGATTCATTGTTCAAACCGTAAAAAGGATCTGGAACCAATTTATTCTTCAGCAAGGTTCCTAAAACCCTAGAACATAACAGGTCAGGGTTAAATAGGAATATAGTTTTCCATGTCATTTGGTGCAGATAATATCTTAATGACACTTGGTGTGCATGATCATCCATCGAAAAGGAAATATATAGGCAATGGAAGAGTGAAAAAAGAATTGACGCAAGAACGAGAAAGTAAATAATGTTAGGAAATAGATGAAATTCAATTCAATCAACAAGAGTAAATAATAACAGAAAACATGAAAAAAATCCAACACAAAAAAAACTCAAAATTTTATACAAATTAATTCAATTGATGGCTAGTCATATTATTGTAGCTACATAATTCATTATGATATGATTGTGAAAATTTACAGCTCTAAGTACTCTGCTACAAACATAAGATGGTTGCCCCATCTTTATAAAGAAAAAATTATAACAATAAAAAATTATAATAAATTTATTGTATACTGATAAAGAGTGTTTTTCATTGAAAATATGCAATGAATTTATGATTAATAATCCACATATTGGATTTACTTCTTCAACATAATATAGTGATTAGAGTATCAATTTTCCTAGAAAAAAGTAGCGTACCTTCGTTAGAAAAAAATACAAAAAAATTACAGAATCCTAGTTTAGGCTGATTCTAGGCAGGATTTATAAATGATTTAGCTTAAATTCTGGCAAACAAAAATTTTTGGACATTAAATCTTACTATTTTGATAAATTTCATTTCAGAATATTATTAGTAAAATAAAAATTTTGTCCAATCACATTAACAATATAATTTAATGCATTTAAGGATTTCTCTAAAACATCAACAACATCAATCCATTATCTCTCTACATGGGGTCGGCTACATGAATTCTTTTTCTTTATTGTGTCATGTTAAAGGTCAAATTTTCATTTAAATATAATAAAGAAAGGTCATTTCTAATATTTTCTAGCCAAGTCTTTTTAAGCCTACCTCAACCTTTCTTAATATAAGTCAAATATAATACATCTACTCTTCTAACCGGGTCATCGGAAGGCCTCCATTTTATATGACCAAAACATCTAAGACGACTCTTGCCTAGCAAAAGCTCCAATCAATAGATGAGGAGAGCTGCACAACGTATTGAAATTCATTTTGCAATTCTTATCCAAATTCAATGTCCACCTCAAGATTTTCTGAATTCACAAACATTCCACAGCAGCTATGCGACTCTTGCCTAGCAAAACATATCTATCTTATTACTAGGGAAATCCATCCGAATCAAAAAGGAAACACGAGAATCAAAAACGAAACACGAGAATAAAAAAGGAAACACGAGAAATAGAAGAAAAGACCATACGTGCCGGGGATGGCGGCCTCCACCCACGGAGGGGAAGGACCGGAAGGTTGCATGGTGGTTGTGAGCAGGACACCGGTGGCCTCCACTTCCGTCGATCTCGCTGCCAGCCATGCTGAGTCCAGCAACGTTTTCCCTACCATCGCCGCAGCCATATACGCTCTAGTTCCCTCTTGATCTAACTCTAGTCCTTGGCTACTATTAATAAAGCCTTCGCATACCTTCGGCGCCGATGGTAACTGTAAAAGCGACAATATACTCAGTAGAGAGCGACAGGCGACGTAGCTCTACAGCCATCTTGGTCAAAAAAAAAAAAAAAAAAAAAAAAAAATGAAAAAAAAAAAAAAAAAAAAAACATGAAAGAACTTGAGCATCCAAGAATTAGAAAAACGCCCGCAAATGAGGTCCTTATCAGTTTTAGATTTTTTTTTTAGGGTGGGGGTACATATATCAAAATATTTCTTTAAAGCATAAAATAAAGATCTAATGAGCTTCTTTTTTTAATAATTCAAATAAAATACATGATCCAAAAAATCATTCTAGAATTCAAATAAAGTCCCAGACTTAACCTCGAGAAATTTATCATAAGCTCTAATATAAACTCTAAAAGTCATATCACCAGCATGCATTATTCAGCAAGCTTACCAAAGTAGAAAGCATATAATATAACAAAAGACATGCTAAACTTCTCTCAAATCAAAGAAGACAATTCAAACAAAGTCATTCAGTAAAGGAAGAATTTGAACCTCTATATATGAAGAAAGGAAGAGAAGGGAGAGAAGAATACGAGAAAGAAAGGAGGGGAGAGATTTTAGTAGCCAAAACTCGGGAATCATCCGTCGGGCCTATATAGGATATTATAGAGCATAAGGCAAACTTCTACATCTCCATCTCTGATTTAAATTCTAGTGTTTTAAAAAAAATTATGAATAAAAATACATTTTTCCTATGTCTTATAATATATTCACTATAACTTTTGATATATTATCCTGTGATTTATCCAAAACATTTTTTACTATAATAATTAGATTTTTCATTGGTTAATTTTTTCGAGTATAAATTGATTTACACTTTTTTAGCGATTGTAGTAGTTATATAGACGTCTTAAAATGTTTATATGAATACCTCGTTGATATTGGAATGTGAATAGAAAAGTTCAGTGAGTATGTTATATTAGCAATGTGGCTTTTCTTAGGAACCTTCATGCATTATTATGTATTGCATTGAATTTATAATTTAGTTTCAATTGCATATGCATTTAAGTTGTATCTAATACGTTATAAGGGCACACCATATGGTATGTTTTGGCCCCATTGTTAAGTTAAAATTATGTGTGTTTTATTATCTTAAAATTTAGTGAAAATGTTATTTTAAGTTGATGTTGTGTAGGAAAATCTTTAAAAAGTAGAAAAATTCACAAGTATTGAACCAGCAGTGTAACGCTCCAACTATTAGTGCCATATCATTTAGAACACCCTGATGCTAGATCATGACATTACATCATTGGAGCCTCGAGAAAAAAATCATTTAATTAAATGCCCTAACTTAGCCAAGGTCAGTGTGCAGCGCCAAAAATCAACATCGCAAAGTTGGGCTGAATCAACCAAATGTTGTGTTAATTCAGCCAATTGTCATGCCATATAAGTTTAACGACATAGCAGAGCCTACTTAGCACCACTAGTTTATATTGTGATGCCACGACGCCACCATATCGAGCAATGCAGTGCTTGAGTCCTTTTATGCAGTTAATATAGATAAATTTTCATTTATTTTTGTTAAAGGAGATTCTATCATTTTCAGAAGAGTTCTAAGATTTTAAGTGAGTTTAATCACTCTAATGAGTCCTGAGTGCTTAATTGTAGTGCCACGAGAGTTAAGTCTAAGGAGGATTAGAGGATGTATATATATATATATATATGGACTGGTTGGTGATAAGTGTAAATAATGTTATGATTTATGTATTAAATTTTTAGTGAAAAATGTTGTTTTAGTTGTGTTTATGCAGAATAATATAGGAAATGGTAAAATTTTTAAGTATGATATAGTGTTGTGGTGTTGAACACTATATCGTCATGGTGCCATCATTTACACTGCCAGAGCACCCAAATATGGACATGGCGCTGCCCAATCTTTGTTTAACTGCGCCGCAAAGCCCAGTATATGTCTGCAATGTGCCACGGCGCCAAATTTAAGTACCGCCAAGTCAAGGGAGTTCCTTGGGACGCCGTAGTGCTTAACCATTAGTAGCGTCACGACACTATAGTTATAACCGTTCAAGTTATGATCTACCAACAAAGCAACATGTCGAATAATTAAACTGCAGCTCCATGTCAACATACACCACAACAGAGGAAACCCTTTAGTATTGTGGCATTAATTCATTTTATGGGCACTGCAGCAAAAGTGTCTCGAGCACCGTGGCGCTAAAATTTATTTATTTTTTATATTTCTCTATAAATAGTCCATTTGTAATGTTAGTAAGAGAGTTCAGTTACTTATTTAATTTTAGTTTTTATAGTGTTTTTCTAATTTTTTTCTTATGAGTGACAACTAAAGGAATTTAGAGAAGTACTAAATACATTCCATTAGAGTATTTGACTTGTGTTTATGGAATATCATCAATATAAAAGAGAATCATTACGAAATATATTATATTAATATTTCATCAATAAAAAATAATTTATTTAAATAGTATTTTATTTAATTATTTTTTATTTTAAATTAAATGACTAAATTTTCATCAAAACTTATTTTTATTAAGTAAGATAATTATCATAGTTGAAGTAGACAGTACTAGTATTTGCAAGTAAATATTCTTTCTTGTGGAATAGATACTATACTCTGCCACTATATTACTTGATTCTGTATGTTTACTTGCATATATTAAGTGAGATTTTTATAATTTTTATATCAAAGAAAACCTAAGTATTGTTTAGAGATTGATAGAGCCCTAAATTATTTTCATAATTCTTTATATTACTTCACAGCTCCCATCAAGTGTTTGGTATCATTATCAGAGAAGAATTTGTTTTATTTGTAAATTTTCTATATTATTAATTCAATTGCATTATTAGTCATATTATATTATTTTGTTCTTTTATTTTAGTTTACTAATTGCATATCTTTGGTTACATGCTTACAAGACATAGAACTAAGTCACATTTAAATTTTAATTCTAAAATTGAGAGAACCCTTTCTAAAATTAGAATAACTAAAAATATTTTTAAAATGGTCGACCCCGTTCAAAACTTAGATCACTCAAGACCTCTTAAGGATTTTGCAAACCCTTTAATAGACGGAATTCACCAAAGCATAAATAGACCCTCCATCCAAGAAAATAATTTTGAATTAAAACCTAAAATCATTCAGTTGGTATAGAATTCTCTGTTGAAGAGCCTAACCTACATTTAGCAAGTTTCTAAGAAATTTGTGCAATATTTAAGTACAATGGTGTAAGTGATGGTGCCATTAGACTTACATTGTTCCCATTTTCTCTAAGAGATAATGCAAAATTGTGGTTAAATTATTTACCCCCATGCTCTATTACCACATGGAATGAGTTAGCCCATAATTTTTTAGGAAAGTATTTCCCACCTTCTAAAACTGCCAAACTTAGAAATGGTATTACTTCTTTTACTCAATTAGAAGAAGAATCTATTTATGGGAGTTGGAAGAGATTCAAGGAGATGCTTAGAAAGTGCCCTCACCATACCTTACATGATTGGTTGATAATTTAAACTTTTTATAATGGATTGGTAGGATCATTTAGAGTCATAATTGATGCTGCAACCAGATATTCTTTGACGTTAAAACCTTTTGAAGATGCTTATAAATTAATTGAAGAAATGACAACACCTAATTTCAGTTGCTTATTGATAGGGTGAATTCTAAGAGAGTGATAGGAGCTTATGAAAATGATTATTTATCTATTTTGATTGTACAAGTTGCATCAATGTAAAAGAAGTTGAACACCTTAGGCTTAAATTTTGATTCATCTTTAGATTTAGAAGATAAAAGCTCAATGGAATAAAATGATATCTAAAGGATTGAAAATATAAATTTGATTGAAAGACAAAACAATCCCTATTCAATACATATAATCCATGTTAGAGGAATCACCCAAATTTAGTTGGCCAAATAATAATGATGAAAATCAATGAAATTCTGATTAAAATAACGAAGGCACAAATTGGAATAGTCAAAATCAAGCTAATAACAATCTAAGACCAACTTATCCTCTTGGATTTAATCAAAGAAATTAGTATGGAACTAGAAAAACACCACTAAAAGATGTGGACATACAATTGGGAACTCAATTACCAAACTAAGCTGCTTCAATTAAAAATTTGAAAAATCAACTAAGTTAGCTTATAATTTTTATGAGTAGTAGACCCATTGGCTCTCTTCCTAATAACACTGAAGAAAATCCTAAAGAAAAGAAAGAGGTACCAATGGGACTCCATTGAAGAGCAACAACCATCTACCTTAGCTAAATGGAAAATCCAAACATGTCTTCCTGAAGAATATAAACTTAGCGCTAATTGGGAGGTGACCTAATCCTAGGTCTAGTTAGTTATCCAATATAGCTGAAGACTATAAATTTAGCTCCTTTAAGGAGGCAACCTTATCTTTAAAGTTAATTTTTTCTTAATTCGCTTTAAAAAAAAAATCTTTGAGAAAGATGAAGGGAGTGCAGCGACACCATGCCTTTAAACACTGCAACTCCCCAACGGGCTATAATGATTAAAATTTTAAAATTTTCAAACTTTCCACCTGCTAAAATCTATAAAAATAATTAGGAGGAATTTCACTTCTCAATTCTTACATACTCTTAAGTGAGTATCATACTTTCTTCTCTTAAAAATCAAAAGTCTAAGTGATGAGTAGAATCAAGCATACATCATCTTCTTCAAAGAACCAAAATAAAAATCATACTAAGTATGAGAATTCTTCACTTGTCCACATGCAAAGTTCTGTCATTATTACTAAGTTGAATGAATTCAAAGAGGGCTTGCATGAAGATAAGAAGTATATGGTGAAAATAAAGAAGATGCATGCTAGTAGAGTTTTCTTGTATGATTTCTATCCTAGGCAAGATGTGTTGCTATTTGATTATAAGGAAAAGTATCGCCATAAATAAATCAAATCTGGATGGATTGGCCCTTTCACTATCATTAGAATTTTTTTGCTGCCATGAGGGTGCGTAATAAGAAAACTTTGCAAACCATCAAAGTCCATGGGTATAGATTAAAACCATGTCATTAGAGGAGTGAAGAATTCTTAAGGATGTGTATGTGTTTTTGTTGTTCTACTTTATTGTTTTGTAGAAGAGAATAAAGTGATAGGAGATATTGACTTGTGTAATTGTACTTAAAAAATTTAGCTTTGAGAGTCATTGTGGAAAGTTGGGTGTCTTGTGCACTGTGTATCATGTAATTATGGTATATTATAAGTATTATGTTATATTTGTGTTCAACATATATTTTAAGCAATTTTTATCACTCATATGAAAGCATGTGTTTGTAGTGTTTGTTTATGTGTTTATTTATATATTAACAAATTTTCTTCATGCTTAAATTATTATTATCCTCAAATTATTTTTATATTATGATGATTTAATTAACCCTTATAAAAATGATAATTAAAGATTATAAAAAGTTAAGATAAAAATAAAACCCTACTTCCTAGTTTGAATGAACTCTATTTATACTTCATAAGTTGAAAAACTAATATATAACTCATTCAAGCATTTGAGCTATTACTCTAATTTGAATTTAATAGCTATACTTTTATGAATTTAACTTTTAAAACTTAAAAAGGAATAATTAGTATTAAAAATGGATATGATTTGTTTAAAAATTTGAAATCATAGCTAACCTGAAGATGGAATTAATAATCTCATCAAGTCCGTACATTAAAAATATTAAGTTTTTATGAGAATCATAAAGCAGAAGCTAATATTCAAAATCAATAATTATGTACTCTATATAAAAATAAAAATAATTGCATATAGTTCTTAAAAAGGAAAAAAAGTGAAAATTATCAAAAGAAAAATATGAGTACATTGAAAAATTGGTATTAATAAAAGCTTGAGATTTCAAATATAATATCTTACAAAAACTATAAAGGATAATATGAGAGAGCTAATACAAGGGTTGATGAACTAATAAAAGTATAGTTTTAACTAAAAAAACATCCAATTATTAAAATTGCATTATTTACTTCAACATTCAAAAGTTAATGATTAAATCTATAACTTATAATTTTAAATTAGGTAAAAATAAGAATGATTGATTAAGTTTAACTATTGATATTTTTTCAAATTAGAAGTATATATTTGATACTTTTTTACTAAATCTAGATAGTGATGTATTATCCTATATTTTAATAATTTTAAATTATTACTTTTTATTTTGAGTAATCACTTAATCATAATTAAAACTTTTATTTGCTTGAGGACAAGCTAGAGTTTAAGCTAGCGAGGATTTGAAAAATGTAAAAAATATTATATTTTATTTATTAATTTATGAGTTAAGCATATTATTTTAGTTGTGTTTGTGCATGAAAGTATAGGAAATGAGCAAAATTTTTAACTATGGTACAGAGCTGCGGTGTCAAATACTATATAGCGATGGTTCCATCATTGACATCACCAGAGCACCCAAATATGGATATGGCAGTGGTCAGTCTCTGTTTGATAACGCCGTAGTGTTAAAGAGTTAGTGCCACAAAGCCCAATTTCTATCTAGATTTCCTTAAGAGTGGAAACTAAGAGAATTCATATAAGTACTAGATATATTCCATTAAAATGTTTAGCTTGTATTTGTGGAAGCAATTTTGTAAGTTAAAGAAGGATTTTAGAGAAGATCATTGAACCCATTCAGTGATATCCTTTATTTTATACTTTCTTAATTTTTGTGTAATTTATTAAAATAAAATAGATTTACTTATTCTTCATGCTAGGTTAAATTCTCTAGTTTTAGATTGATGGTGTAAATAAAATGTGGAGTGCTAATGAATTATTTTCATTAATAATTTCATGATATTTTTAATATATCATGTCTTCATTTAATGCACATAGTGGCCATATGTGTAGTTAATATTATGTGCAATATAGAGTTTAGGAATAGAAAAGCATGAACAACTAGGTATGTTGGATTGGTATGATACAAGAAAAAAAATAATGCTTATTATGGACCTCCGAAAGGACACCTCTATGCATGGGATAGAGTGCAGAGGGGTATATGATCGCACTATCCTGAAGGATGAGATGATCACAGGCCTCCGCACTCTTTGCAAGCGGGAAAATGGAAGGGCAGATTAGATCACATATATGATTAACCAATGAGAATAGTGACTCTCGCCAACGCACCCTGATGGATAATAATATGCATAACCTGATCAAAATAATAGGTTTCCCCCACCCAATACATCAACTCAAGTGAGATTTATTTGATGGTAGAGTTTCATTTCCCATGGGTGCAGCCTCCCATGATTAATTACATCTCAAGTTGGAGCCTGAGAATACTCTTGATTATGGATCCGACATTATTCTTTTCAGAATGGGATTGGAACAAAAGGCGAAGACTAGAAAGTTCCTACTCAAATAGAAGAAAAGTTCAAGTGGCTTAGTCAATATGAACAGCTCAGATCAATACCCGGAGAGACCAAGACACTGAGAATAAAGCTAGAGAGAAAAGGAAACAACACACTCAAAGCAAACAAAGGGGAAAGATGGAGGTGACGTCATCCATGTGATGCAGATAGGTATGATTTATAGTCTTTGAAAAGAATGAGACTTACCATCGATGAGGCGTACTATGAGACATCAAATATAGTATCCTTAAACCCTAAATCTAGGGTGGGTTTAGTATTCTACACCTAACACTAACACCCGTGTCCTAACTAATACATCTAGCTTATATCTTGCCTGAAAAGGAAAGCCAGCTAACCACCTAGGCGTATAAAATATATGATATCCAATATTTATGAAAGATGGGTAGGTTGTTCTATTATTAGAAGCAAGGTCGACATCTAGAGAATCTTCTAATTGGCCTTGGACTTATGTATGGTGAATGGTCTTAGAGCTAATACAATTAAAGTTTCATTTAGTTAATTTTTAATGTAATGCTTTCTGGTTAAAGGCTTCAAATCAAGTATGCATGAGATTTTAAAAAGGCTTATAAAAATATTTTTTTAAAAAAGACTAGGCTTCCCTAAGTCCAACACCTCATTCTCATAGATCAGATTATTCAAACTCTACCCGTAGGCGGGAAAGTGTCTTATAGCAAGGGAGAAGAGAATGTATCAATATGCATGTGATCCCGAATGATTTTGGATATTTCCTAAGTTGTTAAATTTCTATATTATTTAATCCTTAAAATATTATAATTTAATTTTGAGTAGAAAAAAAATTTATTCCTAAAAAGCCTAGTAATATCAAGCTAAGCACACGCAAGAAAGAAAGATAGAAAAAGCATGCAATTTCTACTATACACACACAGTAAACACATCAATATAAATCAAATCAGAGTAAAAAAGAAAGTTAATGATAAGAGCAATATAAGTACAACCCATAATCTATAGAAAAGTAATGGTGGTCAGGCTCCACCAACAATAACTTGAATTCTAATCCTAATAAATGACACAAGTCTTAAAAGCAAGGAATTTCATATTCAAGTATTCTTATCCAGATGGATCATCTTCTTCTAGATT